AACGAACCCAAACGAACTGAATTCAAAACGACACAATCTGCTCATAACGGCAGACGCGACCAGCGGTATTCCAAGATGAGAGTGTCAAATGCCTAAACTGGATTTATTGCTTATTACCAACGTTGTACAACAACAACAACAACTCCAAAACAACAAAACAATGTAATAATAAAAACTGCCTTTCCGTCGCAGACTAGTTGAGCATTGCATTCGGCTTTGTTGGCGCCCGGCGATCTTATCAGCGACAATGAAGCAAGCAAACAAAAATCAAGCGAAAATAATAATAAACAACAACAACCACCGCAAAGCAAATGCATAACAAGTGCACAAATTTGTAATATTATTATAAAATTAACACCTGCAACTTGGTTCGCATCATTTAAGGCAAACAAGTCGCCTTCTAACATCCGCCGGCTGCGCAGAAACACAATGGACCATCTGTGTCGTTGGCGCGCACCTTTCGATTTTTCGGCAGCTTGCTTGTCTTCCAGCCATGTCTTGGCCATGCATTTTGCCATTTGTTGAATTGTGCTGCTGTTTGGTTTATTACTACGGTCGGTTGCAAGTGCGCATGCGCGGCAATTGATTTTCTCACGCTCCGCATTGGTGGCTTCGGTACACGACACGCCGCGGCTAGGTGAGTGCACGCGATTTGCTTATGTAAGGTGTTGCTCTGCGATGCCTCACATGACCATCGGCAGTTGCAACGAAAGCGTCGTACAAATCGCCATGGCGTCTATGAAAATTCACGATATGTTTCGACGAACACAAGAGGCGCTATTGTGTGGAGTATGGAATTGGAATGCTGCAGATGTAGAAGAATGAGAAAATATAAGTTAAATTCAATGCTGAAAGCACTCGCAATTGGGTGTGTTTTTTTCGTTAATCTGGGATAAGTTGGTGGTTGGTTGTGGACTCTATGCCGGCTGGCCTTATTTAATACCAAATCCTAAATATTGCCGTAGCGTTTAACCCTAAACTCAGTATTTTCACATTACTCTCCCAACTCAGCTTGGCGCAAACCAGATTATTGCAACCAATTCTTATCTATATACGCTCTTTCCGGCTTTCGTAACAAAACTCGCAATTACCATAAGAGTTGCAGTTCCGACAGGACAGTATTTTTCTCAAATTTTTGGTTTATTCGAGTTAATTCGAGCTTTCATCGACCACCAGATGAAATCCATTCGTCTTCATATACTAATGATTATGCGCTATTGAAGTCTGAACTTCGTCTTTTTGACTTGCATTGGAAGTGAACTTAAGCAAAAAACGTCGGCGACTTCGGACGACAGTTGCTAAGTGATCTTGCAACGATAAGATCGGCGAAAACTTAAAGCCGGAGAAATCTGAAAACCGCACTGAAAACAGAGAATCACAGACAGTTTTCTGTGCTACCTACAAAGCGCAGTCTTCAGACTGCCAACATAGGAACTAGTTACTTTTCGGAATACTAGCTATCATTTTGGGTTTGAGCCACATATAATAAAGAGTTCTATGAACTCATTGTCGCTGAAAGCTTGCGTGGCACAAAACAAGTCATTCCTCATATAATATTTCAGAACAATTCGTCGAAACGTTCAATCTTTTGATTGTAAGTGGAGTCGACTTCCATGACACCTCGAAACGATACGTTTCCCCACAGTAGAATCCAAGCGATCTTCAACGCTAATTCAAATGTGAAAATTCAGTTCTCAACAACTGTGACAACTATTCTGCCATGAATAGAGTGAACAATTAATAAACGTCTTCTAGCGCACAGGCCAGTGCGTCCCAACTTCTCGCGTGTCAGTGCGAATGCAAATACAAATTTCGGCAACTGCATCACGACACGAACTCCGACAATCTAACTACATTTACTACTACGTATAATGAACGGGTAAACGAGTTAGTAACGACAATTAATTACTCTCGCACTATGTCTTGCCACTCGTGTGTAGCAGGTGCAAAGTGTCGCCTCGACAAACATTGCGTACGCCATAGTGACTGACCGAATGTTAGCGTGCGTTGCGAGCTTGAATGAAAGCTTCGATTTATGTAACAGTTAGGTTGAGTAGGCCAAAGCAGCCTCATTCACATATGGGAATGTGCAAAATTAATGGTATATTGTCTGTGTGTTTAGCACAACCGTCAGTTATAGACTAGAGTGCACCCTGTAAGGTAAGAAAACTAAACTTTTTTGTTAATACGAGTTTTTACTGAATTTTCAAAGAAAAAAAGCTAGTATGATATGACTACCTTGCTTCTAGCATAGAGCTACGTACAACATTATAATTTTTCAAACGCCCCTGGAAATCTTAAAAAGCGTTGGATATCTTAAACAGCTTTAAAAATTTCGGTTTTCCTCGTTTGGAGCCAGTTTCCTCGGATAAATGCAATTACGTAGCACCCAAGATCTTTTAACTGTTTGCTTGTAAGTTTGTAAGAGATCACAACTCCGAAGCGAATATTGCACTCTTCAAAAGAGTAACACTTCTCGAGCCTGTAAACGACATTGTTTATAAAGTACGAGGTTTCATAAGTTTCTCTCTTCAAGTACGGCTCTTTTTTGGCAGATAATACGGTATCAAAAGTTGATCCAGCTCAGGCAAGTTCGTTCGCTTTCTAGTCCCGTGGTCCTGTGGTCGATATGTCCATTTTTAAAACTGTTCTGAACATTAAAATGTCTCCCTTATATCAGCAGTACACCCGAAAACTAGCCAGGAATTCTATATTTCGCCGAAAATCTCCATTGGCTTTACTTGTAGGCCTGGGGAAATAAAAATCATTAGGACTACATAGGTACATCTACTAATAGGTGTACATAGATACAGAAACTTCAGAGCTGCAAAACAGCAAGTGTGAATCTTGCTGTGAAAGATGACTTGGGCGTCTCACCTATTGCTAGCGAAGTACTGTTCGTGTCTCGTGAAACCCGAGTGCCTGGTTCAAGGTAACAAATCAACAAAAAAAAAATATTTGCAAGTAACCAGAGTCCACACTTGACACTATTTACCTCTTTCAAAGCACTCAAATCAAATCAACTAGCTTATACAGGGTCTAGAAGCCACAAATATATTAAAACATTTCGACGTAGTAACCTTTACTGGAGCAATTGCTAGAAAAGTGTTTTTTGCTTTCTAAATGATTTCTAATGCTGCAGCCAAAAAACTAAGCCATATCTATTCGCAATATAACAGGTTTTATGGTATGTAACTAAAACTTAACCGAATTATAACCGATAAAGTATAGTTGTTCAATATCCCCACGACAGTCGGGTCTGCTTAATCGGAATGAACACAGACTATTATCCAGCTAAGGACTGTCAACTCGGCAGCATGCCTCCATATTACTACAATAATGTTTTCTGCCGCTACAACAACAACAATAGTATACTAGAACCATATGTAATAAAATATTGATTTTCTAGTCTCGATTTCGATTTCGACGGAAAGTTTCGGTTTTGTCTAAACACAAACATATTCAACTATCTATGATCATTAGGGTGCACCTGAAAAATATTAGTTAACAGATATTTTTCCATCTTCCATCAATCGAGACTACAACATACGTATATCGTATTAGAAGTAATCAAATTTTGTGTTTAACGAACCTGAAGATGTGTTCTACAAAGCACAAAGCACTTAATGAAGCCTCTCAAACTTCAAATTAATAAAAAAATATAGTTTTTTACCATGTCAGTATTGGTAAAGTGATTGATATTTTGCAAAACTATTATAAAAGTGAACTTCACACATTTAACTACCACCCTAATGTGCATGCATGTGCGTACTACATGCAACCAACAAATCTCCACTTGCTTGATTGTTGCTAGCTGATAAGCTGATGTTGTTTTTGTGGTGTCACTAATATCACGAAACGATTTAAATCTACATTATAGAAACATATCGATGCAAATTTCTGATTAGGATTTTAGCGGGCAATTTGCATACAAATTTATGTACGAGATAAGCACTGGTGGTTAGTTGAAGTACATAACAGCGATGATTGTTGTTGTAGCGGCATTTTGGTGAATGCTACTGAAGTGACACTTCCTGACTAGATAAAAATCCGGGTAAGCTCTGGTTACGTGAGCCACCTGTCATGCGAAAGATTATTGTACCATGCTGTTGTTCTTGTTGTAGCGGCAGAAAAGATATAACACAATTTTTGCGGGACTTATGCTGAGTAGACAGTTCTTGGACAAGTCTATCTTGGTTGCGTAGACCTGAATGCGCGTAATATTATTCCCGAAATAAATAGAGCTTAACGGTTATCCTTCTTAGTTATCTTTTTACACCGACTTTTGAACGCGGTATATTAAGTTTGCCACGAAGTTTGTTATACCCAAAAGGAAACATCAAAAAGTATATATTATATTTACATAAATGATCAGCGTGACGAGCCGAATCGATTTAGCCATGTCCGTCTGTATATACGCGAACAAGTCGCTCAGTTTATGAGAAATCGATCTGAAATTTTGCACACGTTCTTTTATCCCCAAGAACCTGAATATTTGTCGGAAAGGCCTTTGCCGGACAACTATAGCATATAGCTGCCATACAAACTGATCGATCAAACTCAAGACCTTGTATGAAGAACTTTTTTAGTTAAGAAGTTATCTTCACGAAATTAGGCATAGATTATGTTTTAAGGCATAGCTGCAAGCTCCGAAGAAATAGTACAGATCGGATCACTATATCATATAGCTGCCATACAAACTGACCGATCAAACTCAAGTCCTTGTATGAAAAACTTTTTTAGTTGACAAGATATCTTCACGAAATTTTACATAGATTATTTTTCAAGACAGCGCTAGAATATCCGAACAATTTGCTTAGATCGGATCACTATAGCATATAGCTGCTATACAAACTGTTCGTTCAAAATCAAGTTATAGTTCTTTTTATACCTATTTATGCTATAAGAAATGCACCTGTAAAGGGTTTTATAGCTGCGGTGCAGCCGAAGTTAATATTTTTTCTTCCTTTATCTAAAACTTTATGTGCGAATACAAAATATGCTCTATTAGCGTATTGGTTTATTGATTCTTCTATTCATTTCAATATATTATATTAGTGAGTTCAATTCATTTCATGGAATTTTCTTCAATAAGTTAAGTAATAAATTAAATTTAATGCATAGGGTACATATACTGATGTATCTGCAATGACGCATTCATCTTCGTTTGTGTATGTACTGGTTGAAAAACTGTATATTATTCACTTTTCGTCTTCTGATCGTCCAACTTCACGTGTCGAACGCACATAGTCTTGTATTTGCTTCACCTGCTTCCAATACATTTCCATCCAAAGCGCATGCGCAGCCACATAATTGCTGTCATTACAGTTATAATACGACGGATATGCGCCATATTGTGTTGAGTGCGCTGTTTTTCGTGTAGAACGCTTCTTATCATGCTTATGGGTTTTTGTTGTTTTCGCTGTTTCTAACGGCTCATTGTCATGTTTTGTGTTAGTTATATTGGATTCATGTTTTATGTTAGCTGTTGATGTGCCTGCATTTTCTGCTTCAACTTCGGTTGCAAGCACTACTTTTGCATCACCAAGCTCGGCCGCATTCGTTTCATATTCGTTTTTACGTTCTACACCACTCTCGTAAGTCGCATAATAGGGTACGCCACATCCGCCATCACTATCGCTTTCGCATTCATTGTGTGCAACACCATTGGCGTTGTCGTAGTCGTGACCCTCTTCTTCCAAGTCCTCATCATCTCCTTTATCCTCAAACCAATCCTCTGCATCATTATCTTCGATATCTTCATCTTCCTCGTCCTCGAACTCAGCGCAGTCCTCCTCATCTTCATCTTCATAGTAGTCTTCTTCATCATCATAGTCCTCATCCGTTGACGACGATTCAGCTTCGGCCTCTGGTTCCGGATTTGGTTGCATTAATTCCACGTCACCTTCATTTATAGATCCAGTACCGCTTTCCGAGGACGAAGAGTAGTAACCATTTTCTACATAACGTTCCGCCTCTGTGTCGGAAGTGACGATGCCCGACGAAGCGCTGGTCGTATTGCGCTCGTTGAAGCCACTGCTACCGCCACGCTCCGAATTTGAACGCGAGTGCAAGGAGTCGCTATTGCTAATAGTCGGCGAATGATCATCATCGTGGGAATGTAAAACGGAATCGTTCAGTGCTGGCGAATCGGCTTGCCGAGGCTGTTGGGGCGGTATTTCGATCTGCAAGATTAGTGTAAACATTAATACTATGATGCTAGTGCCAGCTAACTAACTAAGCAACTTACCCGTGCACCAACATTAACAGTTAAGTTCTGTAATTGTTGCTGATTGTATGCCAAACCCAGAAGTCGTTGATTGGCCGGTATAAGATCTGGTATGTTGTTATTTGGTTGATTATGTGCTGGTGAAGTGAAATGCTTCACTTCCGACACTTCACTGCTTTCACTTGTGCAGACGCTATTTTTCAGATCACTCTCTGTGCTCGTTGTATTAACGTACTCTTCAATGGAATCGTGCATTTTTGGCGGTGTTGCCACAGATAATATAAATGTTGCCTTATCAATATCATTAGAGAGTGTCTCCTGACTTAGGCTGCTGGAATTCTCATCGGTATTGAAATTGGCATAGTCGGAGTATATATCAGGTGTGGATTCCACCACTGGCTTCTGCTCGGGTTGATCGATAAGCATCGTCTTATAAGCAGCGATTTTCGTCGATATGGGTGCAGCTTCTGCGACACGGGCAGCTTCAATCTAAATAAAAGATAATATAAAATAACCTCAAAATTCGATAATACCATTTACAGATGCATTTCTTATGGCATAAAAGGGTAGAAAAAAAGAAGAAAGATCATAATTTTGATCGATCAGTTTGTGGGGCCATATGCTATAGTGATCCGATCTGAACAAATTTTTCGGAGATTGCCCTATTGTCTCTGAGAATAAACCATGCCAAATTGATATCTCTTCAAATGAAAAAGCTTTGAATAAAAGCACTTGATTCCGATCGTTCAGCTTTTTCAGATCGATATTGCATAAACTGAGGGACTAGTTAGAGTATATACAGACAGACGAACAAACTAAATAGACTCAGCCCCACCTCTTTCAGTGAATTGTTCGAGTTTGTTAGCACAGCTTTTTTGTAGTCTTCAAACAAATCAATTTGTGGCTTCTTCTTCGCTTCACCACCGTCAACGTCCGCTTTGCTCTCGCTGCTGTTAGGATCGACGAGGAATTCGAAAAGCGTTGGAATGGCGGCTTTTTGCATTAAAACCGATTGGTAACGTGAAATATCTTGTTGGCTGCTGCGTAGACTGTCTGCAGCTATGCTACTGGCGTCGTCTATAGTATTTGAAGATGGTAGTTGTTGTGAAGAGTTTTGGCGTGAGTCAATTGTTAGGTTATGTGAAGGTGAGTAGTGTTGATTGTTATATTCGGGACGTTCTAGCAGATTATCTTGCACATTTAGAGCGCTGTCTTTTGAGTCGACACGAAATGTGTTCGTGTCAATTGAAGAGCTCGTATTCAGCTGATTATCATTTACATTCTCTTTATTGTTCTCTTGTGTATCAGAAAATGAGCTATGCTCAAGCGATGCTAAAGGCGCTAAGGCTTCACAACCAAATAAACCAAAATATTGTTTATCCTTCTCAAAGTCGGTGAAATCCCAAAAATCGTGTTCTTGCTCTTGCTCTGGCGCCACCGCCTTTTGTGGAAACTTAAAGACACTCATGCCATTGCCAATGCGTGTTATGAGACGTGTTAGCGTACAACGATCCTTTTCATTGGCAACAAAGTTGATAGCAATGCCATGTGAACCAAAGCGTCCAGCGCGTCCAATGCGATGCAAATAGGTGACCATGTCGGTTGGTAATTCCAAATTTATAACCAAGTTTACATGTTCCGAGTCAACGCCACGCGCCATCAGATCGGTTGTTATGATAATGCGCGTTTTGAATTCACGAAATTTGTGAAACATTTCGAGACGTGTTTTCTGATCCTGCGCACCGGATATAAGTTCACAAGGCCAGCCCTCCTTTTCCAAATAATTGCAATAGGAATTAGCCCGTGATTGTGAGCCAGCAAATATTAAACATTGTTTGAAAGGAATATGTCCGAATATGGCACGCAGCGCTGCCAATTTGGTTTGCATCTCAAGTATGCTGGTTTTTTGTTCGACAACTTCATAGACAAACTGTTTTATGCCAACTAATAAGGTGGCACGCTCCTCTGTAGAAATTAACAGGGGATTGCGCATTATCTTTGCCAGCTCCTCATCTAAGCCATCGCAGAATGTGGCGCTACAAGCGATTGTCTGGCGCTTTGCCGGTAAAGCATTTTGTATACGCCGCAAATCTTGCCGGAATGATTGTGTATACATTTTGTCAGCTTCATCCAACACCAGCAAACGAATTTTCGACGTGTTCAGCACGTTGTTTTGTATCAAATGTAGTAGACGGCCAGGCGTACCAACAACTGCTTTGGCGCCATGTAAACGCTTTCTGTCGTCTGCTACATCTAAACCACCAATAACACTGACAGCACGAAAACTGTTACAGCAACTACCAATTTGATTCAATACTAATTCGATTTGCACGGCAATCTCACGTGTTGGCGCTACTATCAATGATTGCGGTTCGGCGATATCCATGCGGTAAGCCTCCAATATTATTGTGCAAAATATAAGTGTTTTTCCAGTGCCAGACTTCGACTGTACAAGTAAATCTACGAAAAATACCGTTATTAAAGTACCAACAATTTTTTTTGTTTTACTTACCCAATCCCGATTTGCCCATCGGTATTGAGGTTGCCTGAATGCCTGTTGGGTATACAAATCCCGTTTTTTGCAATCCTTTACGCACCGCATCCGACAACAACATTTTACTAAACGGTGCCAATTCTTTGAGTTTAACATCCTCCGTCCGTACTTTGCCATCCAGGCTGTGGGCCACCCCACCAACTTCCATATTTATAAAGTTTTAAATAATTTATCACTATAAGAAAGGCACCGGCAAATAATAATTTGTGTCGAGAAATTTCGCCAAACAATGCTGAAAATCAGCTGTTGTACAGCGACGCACACACATAGGAGTATAGATGGTGCTACCAGAGAATGTAGTATTTTACATTCTCTGGTGCTACCACATTTTCTGATGAATTAAATTGGAATAATTATTATTTTTACTTATACTTACTTATATAAATAAAAATGCCTAATATTTATATTATAATATCATGGTTTAAAAAATATAAAAAAAATTGTTGTTTTATTTTCATTTACCGAAACAAATTCATTTTGTTTTATGTTTCTGTTGTCATTTAAGTAGTTTTCTGTTTCCGTTTTATTGCATTTGGTTCGTTGTTTACATACCATATGTGGTTTTCTGTTACTCTTCGCATGTATTTGGTTTGTAATTCATACAGACATATGCCGTTTTTATTTTACAAATCAAAATAATTTCGTTCTCTATCATTGTTGCCATTTAAGTTATTTTCTGTTTCCATGCATTTGGTTTGTTGTTGCTCATATGTATGTATGTATTTAGTTTTCTGTTTCTGTTTTCAAGTCTACTGGTTTTCTGTTGCTGCTAACATATGGGTGATAAACATACACATTGCAGATCAAATATGTAATTTGCTTAACAACAGACAAAGCATAAAAAATATGCACAACAATAACAAAATATAATAGAATATTTGCAAATATGTTAACAATAAAAAATGCTATTTAAACATATACAAAATAATTACTAAAATTTACTAACACACCTATTTATATGAATCTGGTAGCATTGGTGATGATTTTTAACATCAGTTTTTGCAACAACGAGAATATAATAACAAATTATAAATTTTTTCATATTTCTAGGATAAAGTTCAATTATAAATACGAAAACTACATAATGGGAGATATTCAAACTTTGATTGATATGGGTTTTGCCAAGGAAAGAGTGTAAGTAACCTCCAGAAAAAATATACCGGCTTTTAGAAAATCACTGCCATTTTCGGCTCTATAAATTTTCAATAGTCATTGGAATTTTTATTTACATATGCGAAATTATTTAATCATATATTTTATAAATAGGGAATATGCTGTTAAAATTACCAATAATAAAGGTGTTGAGCCGGCAATGGAATGGTTGTTGGCGCACGCCGATGAAAATATACCAGCCGAAGCGGCGGCACCTGAAGCAGAAGCAGATAAAAGTGGGAGCGATGCTAGTCAAGCGGATGCTGCCACTTCTTCTGTCGCTGAAGCAAAATCGCTAAAATGCGATGACTGCGGAAGATTGTGCAAAGATCAAACTGAAGTCGAATTCCATGCAGCCAAGACTGGACATAGCAACTTCTCTGAATCCACGGAAGAGAAGAAACCTCTTACAGAGGAAGAAAAGAAAGCACAACTGGCGTTAATTGAAGAAAAGCTGAAGCAAAAACGTCGTGAAAGGGAAGAACGTGAAAAAGCCGATGCCATGGAACGTGAGAAAAATCGTATTAAATCCGGCAAGGATATGACCGAAGCACGAAAACGTATGGAAGAGTTAGAAATGAAAAAGATTGTGGATCAACGTAAGCGTGAAAAGGCGGAAGAGAAAGCAGCAAGAGATCGCGTACGTGCACAAATTGAGGCCGATAAGGCAGCACGCAAAGCCAGGTATTACACTTTTTTCATAAACTTATAAAATAGTTGCGGTTTAAGTAACAATCATTATTATTTAGAGAACAAAATCAAACTGAGCCAGCATCACCAGTAACTTCCCCTACCGTGACGTCGCCAGCGTCCACATCTGCTGTCAAGGCGGTACCAAAAGATTACACACAAACTCGCATACAGGTGCGTTTGCGTGATGGTTCCACACTGACTGAAACGTTCAATGTTAAAGAACAGTTATCTGCCGTGCGCGTTTTCATACAACTGAAGACCGGCGATGAGACACCTTTTAATTTGATGACGACATTTCCACGTAAAGTTTTCACAGGAGATGATTTCGATGCACCACTTGATGTGCTCGGTCTGGTACCATCTGCTGTTCTTATTATGACTAAATAAACGCAATTTTATCTGATATGGAGAATTTATGAAAAGAAGTATTGCGTTTTCGTGTGAGTCGTCATAATTTTATTTTATTTTTTTTTTTTGCTGTAATTCAATGTAGCGTTTTATATTCAACTTATTTGTAGTATTAGTGAGACATACTCAAATAAAAGAGCCAGTATAAATACAAAAACAAATAATATATGAGAATTTTAAACGATTTTTTGTGAAGCGTAAAGAAGCGAAGCTGCTTATTTGTGTCCCGGTAATGACTGTTTCAACAGCACAAACTTAAACATTTTTTTTCTTGTTCAACTACACAAACGAGACTTATGTTTGTTTATTTATTGTGGTTGTGCCACTCGCTTAATACTTTCCCAAAATTATTTAGCAAAATGTTGATATGACGGCTCTTGGCGTAATATATTTTCAGGTCTGTTGCTTTTATGTATGCTTTAAGTTCTATTATTTTACTATTGTAGAAAAAATTTTAAGCGCTTACATTAATATTGCTTTTAGGTTATGTATTTAGTTGTATTGTAGTTTCAGAAATTAAAACATCGAATTTGTAGTTTGAAGTATTTTATGCCTAGCTTTATTGCATGTAAACATAATCTATAGTGTATTCACAGAAAAATATTTAAAAAAAAAACTAAATGTGAAATTTCTACATATAATCCTTCATGATGATTTGCCAGCGGCAGAAATTAAGCGAAACTATATATATATATTTTTTTTTTTGTAATAATTAATATACTTTTGTGATATAAACTTACTACTAAATTTAGCGGTAATATTTGTAAAGCGTGTGCTGCTCATATATTTCATATTTTTCTAAATACGGTACATACATACGTACGTCCGTCTGTTGTGTATCATGTATAAAACTTCGCTCTCTTCTGCATTATACTATTCTGCCTCAATTCTAAAAAGTTTTCGTTTGCATTACCAAAAATATATCTGCAAATTTTCTCTCAACTACCTACATACATAATTATCAAGTCGTGTATAAACCCCATAATGCTTTCATAATATATATACCAAAGACAATAATTGTTCCGTATAAGAAATATTCTTTCGTTTTCGCACGCGCTCATCGTTCGTTGTCCAATTACAAGCGTGTCAAGTTACTTCTTACAGCGTAAACCACATAATGAGTTGTATTAATTTGAAGGTGTTCACCACCGGGAATTTCCATTTCTTCTCCTGCCGACGTATTGTTGGTGGCACATTGCTAGGATAATGTATGGGTTTCGAAATATGACAATTCGTAATAACCGTACCGCCCGGATAAACGATAGGCACCGCATCACCCGGTAGTACACCGTCACAATCGGTGAGTTCAAATTGTTTGGTAAAACATATGCGTATCTCCTCCAGATAACTCATATCCCGCTTAGTATCATAAATACAATGTATGGATGGATTCTTGCCGAGTGTTTCAACTATAGCTCTCTGCAAAGCAATTACGGTGCTATTCGAATCCGGATGTATACCAGCATTACCCAATATATTCGACATTAAGTACTGTTCACGCCAAGCCAGTCCACGTGTGAAATATTTCAGCTCATTATCCAGCTCTTCTAGTGATGCAGCACAGGTGCCATGTTTGAGCCATTCATGCTTCCAGAAATAACCCAATTTCTGTTGACCATCTATGGTGGGCCAATAAGTTTTCAAATTCGCCAGTATCTGGTCTAATTGATCCAAATCGAAATCGGCAGTTTTATTGCAAAAACTTGGACCCATTTGTCCCAATTTTGTGGGCCACACGCCATGTATAGTCCAGAATTCTTTCTTTTCCGGTAAAATGCAGGCGTGTGTACTGTCCTCCTCCCGCCAGTGGTAGCATGTCGTTACGGGCCATTGTTGTGTAAATATCAATATATCCCAATTATGATCCACATCTTCGTGCTCAACGCTGGTATCTTCATAAAAATATTCATTGGAAATTGTTATGGCTTTATTGCTGAAAAAGTCAACGCTATCTTGTTGTGGTTCGAGAGTTTTTATTGCCTTCGCATTGTCCTCGTATGACTCCTCGGAACTGCGCTCGAGTGTAGAGCTGCAAAGAAAAGTTTGGAATTTGTTAATAAATTGCGTTTTTTGTTAATACACTAGTTGCATAAAATATCTTAAATATAGCTTTGGTGAAAGCACCTTACACAATATTAATTGCTTCATTTTCGTTACATAGACTCGAATATATAGGTGTAGGCTTCCAAATTAAATTTTATGACTAATGATAATATGTATATAATTTTAATTTAATTTAAACCGTTTCTTCTAAGGACGAAGTTTGTTACTGTAATTCGTATACCATGAACAGGCTATATTTAGTTTGTCACGAAGTTGATAACACCCAAAATGAAACGTTGGACACCCTATAAAATATATATATAAGTGATCAGAATGACGAGTTGAGCTCCGTTTTTCCAAGGATGAATCCTTGGTTCTTCTCCTTTACTCCACAAAAAACTTCATCCTTGAAGAAACTGCCCATTGTCGCTATCGGACCACTATAGCTTATAGCTGCCACACAAACAGGACGATCAAAATCAAGTTCTTTTATGTAAAACTTTCGATCGAACCACGATATCATATACATAGCTGTCATACAAACTTAATGATAAATATTAAGTTCTTGTATGGAGACTTCTTTAATTGTTTGATATTCTAGCCGCTGTGCAGCCGAAGTTAAGCTTTTTTTTTATTTTATCTCCTTCATTATTATAAAACTATTTTAAAAATTAGTAATCATTAGTTGTTACCAAATTTGGCTGTGAAAATTTATTTGTTATTTTACATGTAAATATTTACTTGTTAAAGCTTCGCTAAATGTCACAAGCTAAGCAAAATTACGCTTAGGTGGCTACGCTGGCCGCTAATTAGAAAGACCTGTTTGACAGCTCAACCATGTCTGACTAAGCCGGAATTTCCCATTGTGAATATAAGCTCTGGCCGTGAATTACTTATCAACGATTCAATTCAATTCAATTCTGTGCTGTGCTGTGTTGTGTTTTGTTGTGTACAAGTTTCATATCAATGATAAGTTCAAGGTTTCTCATCCTTGTAATTTGCATGCAAGGATGCATTTTTACAAAAACTAACGCCGATGGCTTGTCAACTGCTGGTACGACATCGCCTGCCAATACAGTTAATGAAACGCCAATAAATCGCGCAACTAGTGCAACAACGGGCGATTTGGTAGCACACAGTGCTCTAAATTTTGCACACAATATCGCTGTGCTACTAAATGAGGATATGCATTATGGCAAGACTACAATTTTCTCACCCATAAGCATAATGTCTTCTATGGTCATGTTGCTGTTGGGTTCAAAAGGCAGGAGTTATGAAGATTTAAGGCACATCTTTCGCTTGGATGTGCCGCCGCTGAGCGATGCATTAACGAACGCATTTCATTTGGAGTTTGGTGCTATGTTGCAGGAAATGCAAGACAATGCGATAACACTGCAGTCAAGAAATCGCGATAATTGGCGTAACACGAATGTGGCCTATAGCATACGAAATAAACCGATAATAAGCGCGGAAAATGCAATTAAAATGAGTAATGTGATAAAAATCGTAAACGGCTTGTTTATTAAAAGTGGTTTTGAATTGAATGCGAGCTACCGGTAAGCTACAAACACACACACACCAGTATGTGTATATCATTGAATTTATTTTTATTTTTGTATTTACAGAGATGTTATCAATTCGATTTACAAGAGTGACATTATACCGTTGGATTTCAAATTAACGCACGCGCGTGATTACATCAACGATTGGGTTTACAAAAATACTTTCGGCAAAATCACCGGTATCATAGCGGACAGCATACCAGCCGATACTAATGCCATAATCACAAGCGCTTTGTATTTCCGTGGCTTTTGGGAGATTCCCTTCATACAGAGTGCCACCATAATTGATAATTTCTATCCGGATGGTCTGCACGAGCCACCGATCAAAATCAAAATGATGGCCACAGCCGGCGCCTACCCTTACTATTTTTCACCGGAGTATGATTGCAAAATAATTGGACTGCCATATGTAAATAACTTCACCAGCATGTATATAATACAGCCGTCCAACTCGAGTCGCAATGTTTTGCGTAGGCTTCTTAAGACGCTGAGCGCTGAGAAAATCGAAAATATGATTTCAAAAATGATCTATCAAAATGCCATCTTTGCTTTGCCGAAAATGCATTTCTCACAGGATATCAATATGAAACATGTTTTGCGTGCGCTCGGTCTGCGTGATATACTCGCGAGCGGTGAACGTTTTAGTGCAGCAGATTTGAGTGATTTGAATGAAAGAACCTGGTCGCGTGGAAACCGTAACGTCGTCTTTCCAACAGATGGTACACCGACAACTCAGCGTTTTCCACAAAGTTTCCCTCCCACCACAGGGCAACAAAATGCACCTGTCAACACGGAGCAACTTTTGCAACAGTGGAGCTTTAAACGCAATGTAAGCAATAATTTGCTGTCCGATCTTTATGTGGGCGATATTGTGCATAAGGTCGATTTTGTGGTGGATGAGAATGGCACAGAGGGTGCCGCCGCAACGGCGACTTACCTCAAACGCTCGGGTGGCAATGTGCTCTTCCGCGCGGATACACCGTTTTTGTTGCTGGTGCGTCATGATGCCACCAAATTGCCGTTATTCTATGGTGTCATCAATATACCAGCGCCGAATTTTATTTGAAAAATTTTTAAGCGCAAATAAATTTATTAAAATATATCTTTATATACATATATTTCCTAAATATGTAAAAATATATACATACATATATAGCTATATATTTTTATAAAATTAATATGTATAAGTGATATCATATATTTCAACTAATGCTGCCTTTTCTAGTAAGAGTGAACAAATTTAATTTTACTAATGTTTTATAAGAAAAATCTGCATAAGTGTGCAAGTAAAAAATTGAACAAAAAAGCTAAAGTGCAAAAAAGTTTTTAAAACATTTTATTATTAAGTTAAAAATATTCAAAAATATTCAAAAAAAGTTTTTAAAACATTTCATTATTAAGAAAAAATATTTTAAACTAAGAAAAAAAAATATTAAAAATATTGTGCTGCAAACTATTATAAAATATTATATATTTTAAGTGATATATACAAAAGTACATAATTTACAACAAATTTTTATCGCTTATTTCCTAAATCTGTGTGTATTTTGTATGTATGTTACTATATTATTATTTTTACGCATTTGTACTTGGTGACTCACATATGTATATGGTGCACAACAACACACAAATATGTGTGTATGTATGTAGTTACTAAGCAAATAAAGTTTAATTTACAACTTTCATTCATAAAAAAAATTTGAAGTTTACATTTTTTAGGCTATTTACAATATTACAAATTTGTGTATTTTACGTTGTATATACACATATATGTACGTAAATATGTAATAAATCTGAGTTTGTTAAGCAAAACAGCAGTTTGCACTGCTCACAGATTGCCGCAAATCAGTAAACAATTGTAAAAAAAAAAAATTGGAAAGGTCATAAAAAAAAGTAACAGCACAATTGCCATATAAATATGTACATGCAGACATACAGTAAACACAATACAAATTTAAATAAATGATTTTATTGACAGTCACCGTAACAAGCGCATGACATAATCACAAAAAATCCCAAGTACCAAAATATTTGACGTTCTCTATATATCTGAGTCAAGTTGTTGTAATTTCCTTGTTCGGACTAAATATTCCGCAGCTTATTGCTAAATTTTATAACCTATAAACACTTTGTTCCATCGAAATCACGAGATTTACTCATAAAAACTAATTTGTGGATTGTAAATTACCTGTAAAGCCGACTGATTCACTTTTCAAATAAATATTTTCGCTTCTTTGTGACTATATTAAACGTTGAGTATCGGTTAGTATACGAATACATACATTATCTTGTATGTGGGTGTATATGTATGCTTTAGAAGCGCGTTTTAAATTCACTGAAAGAGCATTCAACTACGTCACAAACACATTTTATGTTATTATATATGTATATATATATATAAATACATATACGTTACATATACACATTTAAAGCGTATTAGTTATATAAAGGGTAATTTGTTATCAATAGCTACTAGAAAGTCCAAATGCACAAGTAGAAAAGTCGGCAAAATTAAAAATAATAAAATTTCTTAACAATAATACTAACAAATCATAGACATAACAATAATAAAAACAACAACAACAATTACATAAAAAATTATCTGCAATCCAAATTCAGTTTTATAGAAGTAGAACTAATTTACCCGCACTAATGCATAATCAAATACGAGGTGTGCTCAAAAAGTTTCGTGACTTTTCATTTATATCAAAAACTTTTTATTTATTCAACGGCATTACTATTATTACCTTAAAAATAATACTCATTAAAATTAATAAAATTAAATTCAATAATAAAATGTAGTAAAGTTGCTTCCAAACCCCAAAGCTACCTGAAATCTTCAAAGCTTTTCTGATAATTACTTTTTGCTTGTTTTTGTCGTTGTTGTAGCGGCAGTAAACATTCCTGAAGTAGTTTCGAGAAATGCTGCCGAGTTGACAGCTCTTGGCCGGATAAAAATCCGGGTCCCTCCCGGTTACTTAGACTCGACAGTCGTGGGAACGGTTATGAATTTACTTTTTGGTAAATCCTTTTGATACAATTTCAAGTGTTTTAGCTTTGCAGTTTCTAACACTTCACTGGTAGCATCTCTCTTATTGCAAGAGCTCCATGACCTCAGTTTTGAGAACCAGAAAAACAGCCGTGGAAATAAAAATATCTATCTCACTATCGTGAGAACCATGAATGCGAGTTCGTTCCGTTATTGAGAGACTCGACTGTCAAATGAACAATAAATCCGAGTTTGTTACGTTTACGACGAGACCGGATAACAATAAATCCGAGTTCATTCCGTTTACGAAGAGACTCGACCATCGTGAGAATGATATATCCGAGTTCGTTTGGATTCTAAACAACCCGTCTGACCTATGAACGATAAATCTGAGTTCTTTTCGATTACGAATATACACGACAGTCATGAAAATATTAATTGAGAAAACCAAATCCCGAATTCATGAGATTTATCGAAAATACCATAGTGAGTTTTTTTTCAGTCGTAGCTCTTCTGAGTACTTCCATTTAAACGTGTCTACTTTCGTTTCGACCCAAGCTTTATTCGGTTATACCATAAATATAAATTTTAATTAAAATATAGTTTCAAATAATATTGAATAATAATGCCGAATTCACTGCATTTGGACGGATTTCTCAGAAAGTTTGATCTATGTAAAACAAAGTTCCAAGTTGAGCAGGTTCAAGTATGTCGACAAATTTTCTTAGTTTGCTATTTTTTATTTGTTTACAGTAACCAAAGTATTTAAAGCGTTTCGGAGCAATGAATTTAATTTTTATACTTTTGAACAGGGTATATTAAGTTTGCCACGAAGTTTCTAATACCCATAAGGTACTGTCGGAGACCCTATAAAGTATATACATATATAAATGATCACAGTGGTGAGCTGAGAGGATTTAGCCATGCCTGTCTCTCTGTCTGTACATACTTTAGCGAACTAGTTCCTCAGTTTTTGGGATATCGATCTGAAATTTTGCACATGTTCTTTTCTCTGCAAGAAGCTTCAACTTCCTTTATATACCTACATATATATGTATTAGGGTGGAGCAAAAGCAAAATGTATTTATTTTGCTTAGGCTGAGGGTCAAATTTGTAGATTATAAAAAAAAAATGTTGGAAAAAATTTTTGAAAAAAAAATTTTTGAAAAAAAAAAAACTTTTTTTTTAACATCGATATCCCAAAAACTGAGGAACTAGAATTTTTGGACAAAATTTTTTTTTTTTGGTTTAAACTCTTCACATTTACATAAAAACTATCGAATTTGACGGTTTTTGACTCAAAAATTATTTTAACGCTTAAGGAAAGCATGTTGTCATTTAAGACTTTTTTTACTCCAATAATGACCACAACATTTGTTTTTAAGTTGATAACTTTTAATTGGTCAGAAAGAGGACTCTCCACAGCTTCTAGAACACTTATCAAAAATTTTTTACGAAATAAAAATTTTAACTCGAAAATTTACTTTAAAACTGGCCGCCTCTAGATGTTAAAAAATTTTTTTTTTCCAAAATTTTTTTTCATAAAATTTTTTTTTTCAAAATTTTTTTTTTTTCAAAATTTTTTTTTTCTAAAATTTTTTCCAACATTTTTTTTTATAATCTATAAATTGGACTTTCAGGCTAAGCAAAAAAAAAATTGTTTTTTTCGCTACACCCTAATATGTACTTATATATATATATATATAACGTTGATTGCTTAACTATGTAGCAATGAATTTCAGATATATAATCACCCTGTACAATATACGGATATATGTATGTATGTATGTACATATAATATATATGTATAATGGTATATATATATAAGTATATTAATTTCTTGCGACTAAAATCATTGAAAGCCTCATCATGCGTAATTTTTTTTTAACAAAATGAAGCATAAACAAACAATGCTGATAATTTCAAACTAATGCCGATAAGCTAGCTGATGTATTGTAATAAAAATAGGTCGTTTATAGTTTCAAATCCAACTCAGAAAGAAGATAATGCTATTGCTTTGCACGCGAGTTGCTGCATCAGCTATTTTGCATTTTGTATGAAATTCTATATGTCTTTTCAAGCACAACTCGTGGCAATTGAGTCACAAAGGAATAATTAATTTCGAACATTAAATGCAGCGGTGAATTCCGGTGCGCTGAAACACGCGACATTTCAAATTTATAATACCAGATTTATCAAATATTTTGATTCCAATTACTCATCTTTTGAGTTTTGCAAGCAAAGCGGGAATTTCGTCACACAATCTTTATTAACCCGATCTACCTTTTTAGCCTATAGCATATCCATAAATATATACAAAAAAAAAATCTGATATCTAACCTTAAAATATCTACGATAACTGCTGATTTCGAAGAGTTTTGAATATCCTGTTTTTAAGGGTACATTCCCATATGGTACACTCCACCATTTTGTAGGCTCACTTATACCAACTCGTCTAACAACCCTTACCCTATCTAATCGCCTTCGTAAAAATAGCTCGTTGCCTAGTCCACCCTTCAGATGACGTCCTAGCCTATCTTCCACCGGTTTAGACAACCTTTTCAACAACAACAAGAGTTTCAAAACAACGTTTCCGAGGTCAGTGGTTTCTAAGTAACTGGAAACTACTCGTATTTTTTTATTAGGGAAAGGAGTTGAGTGCTTGGCAGTATTACAAAAACAACAAAATTTCAAATAGATATGGAATGAAATCCACAGAAAATCCCTTAGAGCCCTTAGAGCCGTGACTTGCCGTCGTCCTACCAAATATCCATTGCCTGTTTGGATCGCTTACTGTCGAATAACAATACTTCTTGGGCTTCAAGTTAGATTATCCCGACGACAATACCTAAGAAGTTCAAGAATAAAATTTCATGTGTTGGACACATACTAAAATATACTAGAATAACGATTTGATGCGCTAAAATTATTGATTTTTGTGATTACACATAAAACCTGGTTTTTGTGCAAAGTGCGCTTTGGCTTTACTCAGACTTTTTATGCCTCGCGTGAAAGAATCTTTACAGTAACATATTTCAAGCTGCAGTCTGCATTTATAATTTCTCTGAAAAGATCGCTTTTTAAAAAAACAAGGGTGGTGCAAAAAATGTGTGGTCATGGGAACTTATAATATTCAAAATCCAAACGGAGTACCAAATTACTAAGAAAGGGGAACATATAATATCGTGTGTATGTGACATCTTTGTGATGAATATGAATCAGCAGAAGCATCAAGAGATCTGTTGACAAATCACAAAACCGAATAAAAATCGCATGACCAGGTGTTCAGAGATGAATTAGAGAAAATTAACTGCAGCAAAAATGACGTATGTCAAAGCAAATGGACAACTGTTTTTAACTGTTAATTTGCCATATGTCTACAATGACTTTAGAGAGACATAAAACTGTCAATTCGGAATGTTTTTCTTTGACACAAGTGTTTAGAGAAATGCGCAGAAAGAACACAGCGAGAAAGCAATGATCATAAAATAACGAATTTATGGACTATTGGTATTTCTATTTTGGTGCCTCGTATGCTCTTCTCTCGCTTCTAAAATAAAATGTATGCTTAATGATTTTTCAGGCTCGGGGAAATTACTAAAATGCGTAAGCAAAGCAACCATTATCAACTGCTAGACATGCTATTTATACTAGGCAACTCTCTTAATAGCGTATGATCAAAATTGACGCGGACTGAACGATCAAAATTCGGTACTTGTATGTAGATTTTTTTTTATTTGTGAAGGGTATAGTTCTTCGGTGCAACCGAACTTCAAGGATTATTTTTTTTTCTTGTTAATTTCAATTATATATGCCTAACTAAGCACAATTTATTTACTGCATATATTATGTGTGCATGTATATACACACACACACACACCTTTATTTACCGAATTGATTTTGCCAATCTACAAATTTTGGCTTTAAACACTCGAGTTGGTTTCAGTCGTAATATTTGAATTTTCACTTTATAACAGTGTTGTTGCTTTTGTTGTTTTTTTTTTTTTGCACTGTTTGCTTATATGTTTCCATAATCGGTTGTTACCGTTTCACGACTTACCTAATCACGTCCAGCCACTGCGTGCTGAAGAGCAACACGCCGAAAGTGAACCACAAAGTACACCTTCGTCCCATTTTCGTACGGTTTACCACTGCGTCGCTTGAGTTCAGCGAAATTTGTGTAATTTTCAGCGAATTACGCTTGTTATTCGGTTTATTGATATTTGATATAATTTCAAGGTGTTTGCTTGTTAATATTAAAGTTTTCGTTTTCTTTTTCGCTCAGCGCTGCCGCTTCTGCACTTCTTTCAAAAACTCTGTGTACATATGTATGTATCTAACTACATATACATATATCTATGTATGTTTGTTGTTATTTTTTTATTTTTTTTGTTTAGTTTATCTATTTAAGTTTTTATTTTCTTTTCGTTTTTTCTATACTTAAGCAATGCGCTGTCACACTCTTTGTTGTTGGTGTTGTTTTTATTGTGTGTTTTTGTTGTTGTTTCAATTTGTTCATTGTTATTGTGTTCTAAGCAATAAATAAAAACTGCTCTGGCGTTGCGCACAAATTTTCTTGATGAGTTTTCGTCATTTCCATTAATTTTCTGACATTTTATGGCGTTTTTCGTTTGTTTTCGCTTCACTTTACATTCACTGACATTTCACTGCATTAGTTTTATTTTGTTTTGTGTATTTTTCGCAGCAAGTTGTGAAAATATTTTTTCATTTCGTATATGAGTTTGCCTGTTTCAAAGGCCTGAAACAACCCGTTTGATATTCACTTAGAAAAAGGTACACACAGTTGCCTACCTACTTGCTGTATATTTTATGACTTTGCTCTCTTTTACGTTGCCTTTCTACTCTGCACTTTAGTGGCGCTCTAATGTGTCACTAAATTTCATGAGCGCATGTAATTTTGAACTCAACTCTGCTAGTGTTTGTGGTAGTCTTCAGACAAGCTGGCAGCAGCAGTAACAAATAAACAATGCTCTTCGGCAATTGAGCAATCGCCAGCGTAAGAGCGAAGAGAGTCGCACATTTATTAACGACGCATTAAAGGGGTTACTAAAAGCAAGCGCTCACACTAAATTATATGAGTATAGGGTGTTGAGTTAAAGTCTTGCATTTTCTATAAACAATTTCATAATTTACATAAAAATATTTTCTGTTTCGTTTTTGAAAATTTGGAAAATTTTTTCTCTGATGGCTTTTAAGAAAAACAAAATAAATGTTTGCAAGTGATTTTAACATCAATTAATGAAGTCTTAATTCACCGCTATTGCTACTTTACACTCTAGATCCGTTCCATCGGAATGACGACGTTAACACATTAGGTCTTTCCAGAGAACATACATATACGCCCATCTGGAGTTGCCAATTTTTATTAAACATTTTTTTATTAAAAATTTTTTTATTTAAATTTTTTAGTTAAAATTTTTTAATTAAAAATTTTGGAATAATTATTCGGTTTGAATATGATTTTTCTGTGCGAGCTCTAGTTCAGAATGGTAGAACAATAAGTACGGAAGCGCGAAAAAACTAAGTTCAAAAATATATTTTTTTTAATTTTTATTTATAAACTTGTAATTAAAATATGTTTTCAATCCGGGTTTTTAATTAAATATTTCAAAAATATTTAAAATATAAAAAAACTTAATTCAAAAACAATTTTAAAGATTTAGTTTTTAAATTTTTATTAAATTTTTAATTATAAACTTGAGTTTAAAATTTTTTTAAATTTTTTAATCCAGTATTTGACATTAGAAATTTTCAAATTATTTTTAATTAAAATTTTTGGGTTTACAAAATAAAAAAATTAATTATTTATAATGCTAATTTAATTATTATTTTTAATGCATTATTTGCAACCCTGCTCTGTACACGTGAGAAATAAAAAACTGTAAATCAAATTAACGTTAGCATTTACAGATTTGATCCACACCGAAGTCGAATGATGGAAGACTAAAAATGGAAAAGTAAAAATATTATTTCTATATATCTATTTCTTTTAATATTAAAAAAATTATAATAATAAAAAAATTGCATTGAATAATGAGAAATATAAATTTATAAAAAAAATGTTTTTTTTTTAACTTTTATAAAAACGAATTAAAAGAAAATTTATAAATATGTTGGAAAAAAAGGTAATTATAATCAAATGTTCAAAATAAAAATAAATATATAAAAATTATTTAGGCGGTAGAATTTATTTTTAGGGGTGAAACTAAAAAAATCAATATTTTTTCATAATTCGATAGCTTATACATATGTACGTTTTAAAATAACATACCAAAATTTTAAATTAATGTTAAATTTGAAATAGTTTTTCAATTACATACCGCTAAAGTTGAACCAGAGAACTTAGAAGAACATCATCATTTACATTCTCTGGTTTGTATGCCATGAAACAAAGAGAAATTTACAAAATCTCTTAGCAGAGAGTGAAAGTGATGGGGTCCGGGCTGCAAATACCAGCGACATGCTATACCTTAGCGACCTCTATATTTCAAATTTTCAAGATATATAACCGGATATCTAAACCGGAAGCCGGTTCTATACTTCCTGAAATTCTTAATATACATATGTACTTAGCAAGATATAGCTATGACTATGCTTAATAATTTACTTACAATTATAAATATAGGCAGATCATATTATAACAGTTAGCTATAAGGTATGAAAAAATTTCTAATATATAAATATATATTTATATACTTTTAATATATTTATGGTAACTTTATATACTAAAAGTACATACAAGTATACCTATACATGCACCTTCTCTATCAGAGCGTCGCTATGTCTCGAAGAATCAGTCGACCTACATCACTTTATCTTTCTTTGCTACAAATAATTGGCATGCAACTGCTACCTGTGTTTGGAAATCGTTTTTTGTTATTTTTTTTTTCTTTTTTGGTAATTAATAACAAAGCAATTACACTATAACTAGGTAACTGCTTATCAACAAGTAGCGTAAAATAGAAACATATATATATATGTGTCTCTGTGCGTCCATAAATTTATGTTCTTTGAACGTTTGGAATTTGTGATTTGAAAATGTGGTAGCACTTATCAGGTAAATGTGGGTTTCTTGAATTAAAGGTGATTTAGTCATGGCAAATAGGTTTGTTGTCATAGAAGTATATATATATATATATATTAGGATGGAGCGAAAAAAAATTTTTTTGCTTGGCCTGAGGGTAAAATCTAGCTTATAAAAAAATAAAATTTTTGGACGAGAAAAAATTATTTTTGGTTTAAACTCTTTACATTTTTATAAAAATTACCGTATGTGACGGTTTTTGACTCAAAATTTTTTTTAACGCTTAAGGAAAGCATGTTGCCATTTAAGAATTTTTTTAAAACTCCAATAATGACCACAAAAATTTTTTTTAAGTTGATAACTTTTAATTGGCTTGAAAGAGGACTCTCCACAGCTTCTAGAACACTTATCAAAAAATGTTTACGAAATACAAATTTTAACTCGAAAATTTACTTTAAAACTGACAGGGGCTCCACCTAGATGTTAAAAAAAAAATTTTTTTGTCCAAAAATTTTCCTTTTTATAATCTACAAACTTCACCCTAATATATACATACATTCAGCATATATTCAGCATATATATATATATATATTCAGCAGATAAATAACTAATACCCTGAATTAGTAAAGTATTATCTGTTTTCTTAAGAAAAAAGTTATGCTAAGCTAGTGAAATTTACTAAAGTATTATTCTCAGTTACTGTGATGTTGCTAAATGTGTAATGAGAAATAAAAAAAAATTTAGATTGAGATAAATTAGCAAAACTCATACACTGCGAAAACTGTTTCATGGCGTCTAGAAGATGTTAAGAAGAAGTAAAGTAATAGACAATATGATGATCTCATCTTACAAGCAGCTGCTGCTAATCGGTAGAAAAAAGGAACCAAATTACTTTCAATATCCGTTAGAAATTACATCAAGATTGGTCGCACAAGAGTATAAACCTCTGCTTCCGCATCTCTTAGAATCATGAGCAGAAGGCTTTCGCACGTTCACTCAGTGATACAGAGGCTATGGAAAACACATAACGACCACAATTTGTCACATCCCTTATACTAAGTAGGACGCATACATATATATTTCAACAAACCCTTTAAGATCCTCTTATTGCTAATAACAAGTCAACTGAAACTTTTCTTCGTTTAAATACACTGCAGTAAATATTAAGATTGATCTTCTGCTTATAGCTTAAAGTTGCAGGCTGTATAAACCTCTAGCAACCTTGCCATAGTGTCTCAAAAAAGAGCTAAATAAATTCAAAACATGCCTTCTGCAAACTGTTTTTTACTCTAGGCCCCATAATATAGTAAAATGGATATTAGTGACGATTTTGTCGTAATTTTTGAGTGGAAGTGATCAAATTTGGAAACGTAGACCAGATACTGTTTTTTTTTTGTTCTTGTAGTAGCCTAAATATTCAATGAATATTTCAAAGTTCGTATTTGCGTTTAAATTCCGTGAATTAATTCTAATGCAGGTCGTTTCGGGCCTTACTGAACGTTTTTAACACCCAGAAGGAAACGTCGGAGGCCCCAGTTATATACATACATACATATAAAAGTTCAGCGTGACAAGCAAGTCGATTTAGTCATGTCTGTTTGTATGTCTGTATATACGCGAACTTGTCGCTCAGTTTTTGAGATATCGATCTGAAATTTGGTATACGTCCGTTTCCTACTAAGGAGCTGTTTATTTTTCGGAACCGCCTTGCATATAGCTGCCATACCAACTGACCTACAAGTATGTTATCAAAATCAAGTCGTTGTATAGAAATTTTTTTTATTTGACAAGACGTCATTACGAAATTTGGTATGGATTGTTATGCAAGCAAACGCTGCAGTCTATGAACATTTTTTTCATATCAAATTATTATAGCAAACAGCTGCCATTCAAAGTGACCGATCCAAATCAAGTTAATGATCTTTTTATACCCTTTATTGCTATGAGTAAAGCACCTGTGAAGGGTTTTATATCTTCGGGTGCAGAAGAAGTTAACGTTTTTGGTTTGTTTTTTCGAACATGGGCATGAAAAATAAAAAGAGAATAGATTGAATATGTTTAAAAAAAAAAAAGGTTTCTGATTTTGCGTGTGCCATGAATATTCATTTGTAATTGCTTTTTCACATAAACAGCCGCCAGGGGACGCTTTAGTTAGACAACGTGTAATCACGATTTATAGGCTAATCAGTCTAAAAAGTCATATAGAACTCAATATAATAGTTGAGCATATTTCATATTTATAAACATTAAGGTGGAGCGAAAAAAAATTTTTTTTGGCTTAGCCTGAGAGTAAAGTTTGTAGATTGTAAAAAAATAAAAATTTTGGAAAAAAACTTTTTTTTTTGGTTTAAACTCTTCACATTTATATAAAAAAATACCGAATTTGACGGTTTTTGACTGAAAATTTATTTTAACGCTTAAGGAAAACATGTTGCCTTTTAAGACTTTTTTTTAAAACTCCAATAAAGACCACAAAAAAAGTGTTTAAGTTGATAACTTTTAATTGGCCAGAAAGAGGACTCACCACAGCTTCTAGAACACTTATCAAAAAACTTTTTACGAAATAAAAATTTTAACTCAAAATTTACTTTAAAAGTGAGTGAAGACGTTAATTTTTTTTTTCAAAATTTTCTTTTTTTGTAATCTACAAATTTTACCCTTAGGCTAAGCCACAAAAAAAATTTTTTTTTCGCTACACCCTAATAAACATATAATTTTCCATTAATTATATGGTACAATATATTCGTACATATCAATATAAAAGATAATCGAGCCTATATGTCGACTCATTTTTTGACAGATGGTCGCCAACACAAAAGATAAAACACAAAAATCAGAAACAAAAAAAAAAAAACAAAATCAAAATGTATAAACCGCTTGTGGTATGCGATTTGTTGTTGCAAATGATTGTTGTAACTGTTGTTAATAACATGTACTTACATGCATATGTGATGTTGCAAACAAAGCACTGTGCAAATACATTTTGTTGTTAGTTGCCATCAAATCGATCAATTATTATATTTTCAATTAACTGATAAATCCAATTTACATATTGTACGAACACACATGCGCACACATATCAGTCGACATATCGCACTTAATGCGCGGCGATAAAGTCGCAGCGGCGTTGTCGAGTGGCAACACACATATATTTACATATCTACATGCGTGTGTATGTATATACTAGGGTGTGTAAGTATGCATTATTAATCGCACATTTGCTACTTTGTGCGTATTATACATTAAGCACTTAACAAATTATTGTAAGCGTAAAAAATATTGAGCCGCACACATATATGTCTGTATATGAAACTATATGGGGCAATAGGGACTCATCCTCGATAAAAAAAGGTGTAGTGCCTAGTAAGAAAAATATTAAAGTCAAGTAATTTTTCAATTTTCACTGTGGTATTTTATTAAATAAATATTAAAAATAATATAAAATTACAAAATTTAATGTAATCTTATAAACAGTTATTCATTTCGAAAAAATTTAGATTATCTTGATCCCGTAGTCAATCCCCAAGAGGACCGCCAAAGAAAGTGTCTTGCGGTGATAAAAATTTTCTGCTTAAAATTATCGTAAATCCGCAAACTAAAAGAATAATTATTACTATAGATGAATATACATAGGTGATGACGCAAAAAACTAGTCAATTTAACTTTTGTTTTTTAACAAAATGGCGGCTTCCCCAAAAAAAGTTTTTAATTTCAAAAATCTTATTTCTCCGCTCCTTACTTGAAAAAAAATTGTATATTTAAGAAGGTCGTGTGAAAGTTTCAAGTCGAACGGTCGAACAGAAATTTTCCTTACCGACTCGAAAAACGCTTTTAAAGTTTTGTGAGCGGATTATACTAAGTTAAAAAATTCGTAAAAATACGCTCATATCTCCGAAACTATTTACTGGTGCAACTTCAAAGAATATTTCAAAGTATATGTATTACATCCGATATATATGCGAAATAAAAATTGATTTTTTTACAAGCGAATAAAACCCTTTAGATAACCTTTGACGATCTAGAGCGCCGA